CCCCCCCCCCCCCCCCGGCTACATGCTGCATGAGCCGTGAGTGCCGGGGGGACTGTTCTCCCTTCCCGTGGCCTATGCGGGACCCCCCCCCATGTCATTGGGTCCCATAAGCCAGGTCAAGCTGCAGCTCTGGTGGCTGCCACAAGATTGAACATGGTGAGCGGCCTGGAGGGCCCCAAACTCGTTAAAGGGGTTTCCTGCCCTTGCTCTCCATTCCTCCGTGGCTTCCGCGACCCACATCAATTAACCCCCCGGCTTTGCCGGCCACCTCCCTGCCGCTGAGGTTCGCTTGCCTGATGCAGGATCGAGCCGGTCTCCCTTATGGAGCTTTCGCTCCCAATTTCCCGTGAGCTTTGCCCTTTGGGGGCGCATCTGACTTTGAGTCCCCCCTCATCTGCATGGTTGTGGAACGGTTAAGCCGCACGTGTTTGCCGGCCCGTGTTGTTCGTGTCTGGTCCAACAGGGGTTGGATTGTGTCTTATTGTAACAGCTTGCTCAGCACCAGAGTCTTTGGCAAGGGGGGAACCATCTGTAATCATTTTACACCCGGTTATTAAACCTCCAGAAGTCGCTGCTGTTTCATCCCCCTCCTGTTTTCTAGCAGCCGTGGGTTTCAGACCCCTCTGCCATGCTGTGGTCGCTACTTATCCCCTGGCCTTGTGCTGCTTGCCGACACCTGCTGTGGTCTCATCCCCTCCTGACCTTGTGAGTGAGCACTGCAGGGCCGGGAGCGTCCCGTGGCTGCGTATGTACAGCGCCTAGCGCCAAGGGTGTTACAAGGGTGGCTGGTCCCAGATGCAGAGACATCCTCTCCTCCCTGGGCCTGCTCCCATTCAGCCTCGTGTCTCTGTGGCACCCCGTGGAGCTGACACCCTGGGCTCGAGGTTGCCCCCTTCCTTGCAGCTTGTGTCCCCACACCCGTGGGCAAAGTCGCTGTAGCTAGAGGCGAGATGGGGAACGCGGCGCGTGGAGCGTTCTGCACCTGCCTGGCCCACGGGCCGGGGCCCACACACGTCGCTGTCGGGCTGGAGGTTCGGACTAGTGTTCTCGTGGTGGTGGGGAACTGCTGCCTGCACGGATGAGCCGTCAGCTGAGACTAGGGCTGGGGAACCTTCTGGGGTCGGGGCCAGTGACTCACGGAAAAATCAGTCGGGGGCCACATAGAAGTGAGAGCCCCAGAAAACCCTCGCAGAGCTGCTTGGGGCTGCCTGGCTCAGGGGCCTCAGCAAAGGGACCCCCTGAGAAACACCCTTGCGCTGAGGATCTTTAAAGGGCCCTAAACAGGAAGGGGCAGGGAGCCCAGGAGCAGGGGTGGGCACAATATGGCCCACAGGCCGCCCAGCGTTTCTATGCGGCCCACCCAGCTGCTGAGCAGCGTGTACTGGCACCCTGTGTTCGGCTGCCCCTCCCCTCCCCCACTCCCCCGGCTCTCTCCTGCAGCCAAGCTGCTCCCAGGACCCACCTACGAGCTGTGCAGAGTGGGGAGAGAGGAGAGCTGAGATCTGGGTGTCACCCTGCCCCTGTTCCCCGTCTCTGCAGAGCAGTGGCGGGGGAGACGACAGAGCAGGACAGCTTTCCCTGTCTTAAAGGGACAGTCCTGGCCTCTCTCCAAAATTTACCAGCAGCAGCCAGTGTACACATGCTCTGTCACATGCCTTGGGGTGCTGATTACAGACAGCCTGGGCTGCAGGAGCTCTGGCTTTGGTCCCCAGATCTGACACTGACTCTGTGACCTTGGGCAAGTCACTTCATCTGGAGTGAATGAATTCAATAGCCAGAGAGTCGGATATGCCAGCCCTTGCAGCCAGAGCAATGTTACACATGCCAGTGTTTTTAAGGCCAGATTAGCCATTACCCATGGTCTAGGCATGCTTAATCCCGCCTCAGGCTAGGAGGACGGACTCTAGAGCCTACTGCCAGCCCTACTACATTCATTCAAACTGAGGCACTAGTCCAACACTCCCAGCCTCAGTTTCCCCAGCTGTAAAACTAACCTCACTAATCTTTCTTTTCCCTCACCCTTTGTCGGCCTGGTCTGTTAGAGCGTCAGATCTTTAGCACAGGGCCTGTCTTGCTCTGTGGCTATGCAGCCCCACTCTGGCCTGGGTCTTGTAGCACAACTCAGCAAGAACGGCAAAGAACTCCTGGGCCAAATGGAAGAAGGTCAGCGCAGAGCTGGTAACAAACCAGAGCCACTTGTTTAAACACAAAAATAAACCTAAATATAACCCCCAAAGAAAAGACGCTGGGGGTTGAACAAAGGCGAGCGAGACGCTGCCCAGGGGCTGTGCTGCCACGGAGGGAGAAGGACAGCTGGCTGCCGGCAGTTACAACAAACCCTGTGGCCTTGCATTGTGTGGGAGCAGAAAATCCAGGCGTTGGAGCCAGGAGCCTCAGCTGTGAAGGCCCTTGGCAGGGACAAACTGGGAAACAATTGAAAACGGGAACAAAACAGTGATGACAAGGAGAGAGAAAATTAATTAAAAGGCGCGGTGGGGAGGGGCCGAGCATCCAGCCTGACGTCTCCACGCGGAGGGTGAGAATCGATGCGTTCGGGGGGGGGAGGTACAGTCCCCCCACCAGCTGGGCTATGGCAACTCCGTGGGACCTGCCCTCCAAGGCCTGCCCTCCAGGAGTCCCATCCCGGTTGCAGAGTCTGGCTGCAGGGGCAGTGGAAGGGGCTGCCCCCGGTTCGTACCTCTGGTCTCAGCGGGGTATGGACAGGGTTCAGCTAGTCTGGCCCCCTGTCGCTGCTGCGGCAGGATACACTGGCTGGCTTGTCCTGAGCTCCCGGGGCTGGAAGCAGACCCCTAGCTCCAGGCGTCAAGCCCCAGCGCCATCATTCCTGCCCTAGGATGCTTGTGTACGGAATAGACCGGACGCAGGCCGGGAGGAGGGGAGGGATCGTCTCTGTTTTACCGTTGGGGAACCAAGGCACAGAAAGCTGCAAGCAACTTGCCCGGGGCAGCCTGGGGCCTTTGGGGCAGAGCCGGGAACTGAGCCTGCATCGCCGAATGCCCAGGCCCTGGGGCCGCCCTCGTCCAGTGGGTGCTCAGAGGGAGCTGGCTCCATTTGGTTACCGAAAAGCAGCTTTTCCAACAGCAGGCACTGAGAGCTGCCTCCGGGCTGTGCGCAGGGCTGTCTCCCCCGGGACCCTTCCTGCCTAGGAAACATCACAAGCAAAGCAGCACTGGAAACAGGAAACGACCGACCCCAACACCCTTGGGCACCCTCCCTGTCACCTTTCCATGGCCAGCTTGGCTGAGGAGGGAGAATGTGGCTGCCGATTGTAGAGGGGGCCGCTTGTGCTAGGGATGTGCAGGGTAGGGTGAGTGGCGCTGGTGGCTATGACCCAGGTTGCAGAGGGTATCGTAACAAAGCCAGCCCGAGCAAGGCCCTTGACAGCTGTTAGCATACAGTGTGCCACAGCCGAAGTGGGAGTGAAATACTAGCCCCTTTAGTGCTAATCATCTGAGTTAATGGAGACTCTTCATGAGCTACTCGCAGTACAGGGCTTATGACACCTTCAGTTCAGACACCCTGCAGCAGAGGGCAGTACTGCACGTGCACACACTAAGGAGGTTATTACACCATTCGCCCTGGGTCATTTTCACCTTTTAAGCCAGTCGGGCAAAGCTTCCCTGGCTCCCGGCAGGAAATGCAAGAAGTGCTCTGGGATTTTCCTGCCTCGCTTCGCTCCCACTTCCGTTTTCACCTGCCCACCCTTGGCTGAGCGGCGTTAGAACTGCAGGGCCCTACAAAGCTCCCCGCCTGGGCTCCCCGGGGGATGGACTCCTGTTCAGTTTTTCAAGGGCAGGCATATTCACGTAGCTCCAAAGGGAGGTGGGTATTTTCCAGGCGCTCAGCACAGGCTAGAAACGGCTTTCCCGGTCTCTCCCCGTCCCGGGCTCTGGAATGCTGCTGGCCCGGCCCCAGGGTTCACCGAAGGACTGGGACTGGCTGGTGCTGTTCAGGCTTCCCGCAGCTGCCTGCGTTGGCAAAGGGCATTCCCCAGGGGAGACAGCTGCAAGGGCTCGATTTGCAGAGGGTGGAGCTCTGAGCTGTCTGAGACTTGGGCCCCTTGCAGGTGGCTCAGGCTCACAAGTCACCTTTGAAAATCGTGGCCCTGCTTGTGGGGTTAACGTATTGCGCCGCGAGATTGGGTTCAAGGCCATCGTGTGCTTAAGCCCCTTGTTGCGTGAGAACATAGGAACGGCCAGACTGGGTCAGACCAAAGGGCAATCCGGTCCAGTGTCCCATCTGCCAACAGCGGCTAATGCCAGGTGCCCCGGAGGGAATGAACGGTGCAGGGAACCATTCAGGGATCCCTCCTGGTGCCCATTCCCAGCCTCTGACAGAGCTAGCGACACCCTCCCTGCTCATCCTGGCTAGTAGCCATTGATGGCCCTGTCTTCCATCAATGTATCTAGTTCCTTTTTGAACCCTGTTAAAGCCCTGGTCTTCATAACATCCTCTGGCAAGGAGTTCCACAAGTTGGCCGTGCGTTGTGTGAAAAAATACTTCCTTTTGTTCGTTTAAAACCTGCTGCCTCTTAATTTAATTTGGTGACCCCTAGTTCTTGTGTTATGGCAGGGCTCGACAAACTATCGAATCTACTCGCCCGTGGCGAGTAGATTTCAGCTCGGCGCCCCGTTTACCGGAAGCACATGCATGCGCAATGCGGCTCTTGTGCATGTGCAGTGCGGGGCTGGCGAGCGGCTTTCCCCGCCGTTTGTCACGCCCTGGGAATAAGTATATAACTTTTCCTTATTTACTTTCTTATTTTCAT